TGCAAATGCACCTAACATAGCGTTATTTTTTTGTGTGGCGAATGTTTTGATAAAGAGACTTTTAGTAAATCCTACATTATCCCTAATCTGTAGGTTTTCTGGCAAGTTGACAGTTTGAATATCTATAACTACCCTTGGTGGTTACAGGCAGGTTTTTATTACTGGGGCATCTGTGCCTCACCCCTCTCTCTCTTCAGCCTCTAAAAAATGTTCACCTTGCAAGGAATCAATATACATGTAATAAAGAAATGGCTCTCAGGCAATTTTATCTCAGTCACTAAACAGACTCCCTGAACAGTGAGAATGAGGAAGGGAGGCGTGTGAGGCTGCCAGGCAGACAGCTTGCTGAGCCACATGGTGGGCTGGCACGCACTGAACCATATGCGGGCGCCTGCTGGGACTTACACGGCTGCACAGACGGGGCTAGAGCCAGGAGTGAGCTCAGGCGGGAAAAGGGAGTTTAACGAGAGTCTGTGACCACTCTGGTCCCAGCAAAAGGGACCTGGAGTGTGGACACCTTCCTCCAGGGATCTAGAAAGGAATGGCATCCATCAGTTTCTCCTAAAGTGCCAATAAGATGAGGTGGCTCTTCATTGCAGCCATGGGGACCAAGGGGACACACTGGGAAGACCTTAGCGCTAAGCCAGAGGGCAAAGGCATGCATTCATGCAGGCAGAGAAGCTTCTATCACAGGGGTCTACGCTGGGTTTAGGAAAGCCCGAATCCAGTCCTGTTGGGAAATTCAAGTCAGTAAGTATCTATTGAGCACTGGAAGTTCTACTGGCAGGGAATTCAATTCAATTCAACCAACCAAGTGCTGTCCAGGTCAAGGTGTGGTGGGAGGGATGGTCCGGGGCTGCCTATCACTACTTGAGCCAATTCAGCAGAGACAGGGTTGACACCTATCTGAGCATTTACTTCAATCCTGCCGGCAGCATGGGAGAGCAGCAGGTCACCCCAAAACATCTGCTCTACCCCCCACCATAAGCCAGCTGCCTATATTGGGGAGAAAGGCAAAGATTACGTGGGAAAAGTAGGAATTACAGGCATGGGCCAGTAGGTAAGGTATAAGGGTGGGTGCCTCTGGGACTAGACCAGTGATGGCGAACCTATGACACGTGTGTCAGAGGTGATAACGCGAACTCATTTTTTTGGGTGATTTTTCTTTGTGAAATGGCATTTAAATATATAAAATAAATATCAAAAATATAAATCTTTGTTTTACTATGGTTGCAAAGATCAACAAAATTTCTATATGTGACACGGCACCAGAGTTAAGTTAGGATTTTTCAAAATGCTGACACGCCGAGCTCAAAAGGTTCGCCATCACTGGACTAGACTGTTCCGGCCAGGCAGCTGGAAACCTTTCCATGATGATAGGCAGTTCTCGGGACAGGAGGAAGGACTGCATTCAGATGTTGGCTCCCATGTCCCAGGGCGTACCACTCCCAGCCAGGTTAGAATGTGCTTTCTCTATCAGAACAGAATCATCACAGTTAACAGAGCATGACTAATATTTCTTACTAGAGGCCCGGTGCACGGAATTCGTGCACTTGGGAGGGGGGTCCCTCAGTCCGGCCTGCGCCCTCTCGCAGTCCGGGAGCCCTCGGGGGATGTCCGACTACATAGAGGCGGGAGAGGCTCTTGCCACCGCCACTGGGCTTGCCAGCCGTGAGCCCGGCTTCCGGCTGAGCAGCGCTCCCCCTGTGGGAGTGCACTGACCAACAGGGGGGCAGCTCCTGCATTGAACATCATGAGGAGAGCCCTTCACTGGGACAACAGAAGACCTTATGGAATATGCAGGTTTCTTAACAACAGCAACCTCTCAGATGGTGGAATGAAAGCCAGAAGAAGACAGAGTTCCCTCTGGGGAAATTACTAAACATACTTGATCGTGTGACCTGCAATGAACAGAAAACCACACCTACGTGTATGTACAGCTCGACTTTGGAATCGTTAGAAGCCAGTAAAACCTAAGTAAAGAGTAAAACCTCAACACGCACAAAAAAATCTCAAATTACGTTACGCTTATTTGGGGCAAGCAGTTCAACAGTCACCTTGTAAAATGTCTAAGTTGGGAACGGGGGCAGCTTGTATTCATTTTCAAATTTACACCTGCCCTGTATTCTCAGATTGAGGAACATACGTTCCTTTTAGGGTCTGGTTTAGAATCAGCCTCCCTCAGAGTGGTATTCGGAATGGCCGGGCTTCATTTAATTGAACTTTATCAGAGTTCAGGGTTTCTAGGCTGAATTTTTTCTTCCATTGCTGCATTTTAAAGCAACCCTCATTTCCATATGCCCTTGGCCCTGAAGCAACGAGTTCCCATCGTCACGTCTCTGACACGGATGCATCGTCTGATGGCTGCACACAGGTGGCAGCGTGACAGGTGACACTTGGTGGTCCGCGTGGTGACTCTGTTATGACAGGTCTCCTGCTGCCTCTCAACACTCAGTCAACAAATCACGTAGGGCCCTCGCTTCCCGTCAGAATCTTTTGGGATTTTCTGGGAAGTTTCAAAAAAAAAGCAGAATGGAAAAAGACAATAGGAGAGACTCTGTTTTTTAAAGTCACAGAGCACCATCACAGGCGGAAAACACGGGCATCGATGATTCAGACGCAAAAAGGGAGTCAGAAAAACTGGGCTCGATGTAAAAGTTTTGAGAATTCCTTGGTCAGCCTGGCCAGGATGGTTCAGTGGTTGAGCATCGACCAATGAACTGGGAGGCCACGGTTCAATTCCCGGTCAGGACACATGCCCGGATTGTGGGGCTTCATCTCCAGTGTGGGGCGTGCGGGAGGCAGCCGATCAGTGATTCTCTCTCATCAGCTGTTAAAGTGTGTATACATTTTGGGGGGACACCCTGTATATACTAGTGTATACACATATGTATCTTAATAAAAGCCAGATAGGTCTGTGATCAGTACCTAGGACACAGCTCTGAGAAATTAAGGTCCTGTTTACTGCTCCACCTTTATAAAGGAAAATCATTTGTTTTCTTATTTTTATAAGAACGCCTATTGTACAGCAAGAGAGCCTAAGGTGTAGCAATATATACATGAGCTGAAATTCAAACACTGCTTTTTTGTGTGAGAGAAGCAATGACTGAATGAAGTTTTAATTCACAGTTCACAACAGAAACGTAAACCGTGCCTGTACCATAAATTCATTAAGAGCTATTTCCTATCTAGAGTAGCCATATACTCAGCAGCACTGAAGAAAGGCTGTTACGTGCTCTAGTATTCCCCGGTTTTTATATTTTATTTTCTAAAATATATTTTTATTGATTTCAGAGAGGAAGGGAGAGGGAGAGAGAGGTCGAAACATCAATGATGAGAGAGAATCATTGGTCGGCTGCCTCCTGCACACCCCCTGCTGGGGATGGAGCCCATAACCCGGGCATGTGCCCTGACTGGGAATTGAACCATGATCTCCTGGATCATAGGTCAATGCTCAACCATTGAGCCACACTGGCCGGGCATATTCCCTAGTTTTAACTTTGGTTGAGTTGACAAGATTGAGGATGAGCTGCGGCAAATAGCAGATTTGCAAGTGTACAGTCGAACACTCTTCTGCTCCTCGCTCTCTTCCTACCTCATCTGCATTCTATCCTTCACGATGAATGAAACCCAAAGATCATGCAAAAAAGCTCCAGGGGAAAACTCATCTGCAGATGCAGGTACCCAGAGTGAGCCAACGGGAATCCATTTTCAGCAACGTGTCAGATAACAGAGTTTCCACAGTGGGAACCAATTTCATGTTCTTAAACAGGAAAAGTAATAACGCACTTCTGATCCATGTGGATTGGATCTGTCAATCCACTAAAGTAAGTGTTTTCTACTTTTCCAAAGATATTATCAGAGTGAAGCTTTTTAGGCCCAGCCGTATCTCATCATTTTTCTTTATTTTCCCATGTATAGAAAAATAGTACGCATGGTGATAAGTGCCTACCAATATAAATATAATATTAATAATGTATAATAGAATATGTAGGGAAGATGACAAGCAAAATGCCCAGCATGTCTAAACAGCACCAAGATGAGCTGTGAGGCCAGGGCGGTGTGGCTCAGTGGTTGAGCATTGACCTATGGACCAGGAGGTCACGGTTCAATTCCTGATCAGGGCACATGCCTGGGTTGGGGGCTCGATCCCCAGTGTGGGGCGTGCAGGAGGCAGCTAATCAATGATTCTCTCTCATCATTAATGTTTCTGTCTCTCTCTCCCTTTCCCGTTCTCTCTGAAATCAATAAAAATATATTTTAAAAAAGATTCATTATAAAAATAAAAATGAAACTGTGAATCAGGCCCTAGCCGGTTCCTCAATGGTTAGAGTGCCGGCCCACAGACGGAAGGGTTGTGGGTTCGATTCTGGTCAAGGGCACGTACCTGGGTTGCAGGCTCCATCCCCTGCCCTGTGGTCAGGGTGCATATGAGAGGCAACCAATCCATGTGTCTCTCTCACATCAATGTTTCTCTCACTCTCTGTCTCTCTCCCCGTCCCTTCCACTTTCTAAAAATCAATGGGAAAAAAATCGAGTACGGATTAACAACAATAAAAAGTTGTGAATCAGGAAGTTTTCCAGATTCAAACCTCTGATTACACCCTTTTAAATTCTGAGAAGCAGGAGGACAACTGTCATTTGTGGAGCAAGAGAGGAACAGAATTCCAGTGTCTGTTCTGATCAGAGTGGCTCTTTTTTCTAATCACATCATGGAAGTGATCAGAGAGGGAACGACTCTTCTTTCTAGTTAATTATCACTAAATAGCCACTAGATTACTTTGCATAAACTAATATGCAACAACACTCTTAAAAGTCCCAGCAGTACTGAGTAATTAGTTCTTTCATCTAGAGGCTGTACTCAGACCATTTTTCAAAGGAGAAATAAGAAGTCCACTGCGTGAAATGCATTAATTATAAAGAAATTACATATTAAGTGAGACTAAAGGTATCGTAACAGAACACCCGTTGGTAGAGTAGCGTATCAACCTTGGCCTTACCCTTTAATTTCAAGGCTTCTAATACCTTTGAATCAGCCGTCACATCGCTGACTAGCTTGATTTCGATATTTTGCGAAGTCAGCTGGAGCAACTTTTCGAAAAGACGTTGACCCTGGGAAAAAATAATCAGAGACAAAGTCAGGAAACCAAATGGATGCTACTTTAATGAGGCATAAATAACGTATTCAAAAAATTAAAACGATTCATTCAAATTTTGAAAGAAAAGCACTTCAGCAGTTGGTATTCTTGAAAATTCTATCAGAGGAGAACTAGTATATGTAGAGCAGTAACAGGAACACAGATTACAGTCTTTTTTTTTATTTTTTGAGTACTGTATTGTGCAATCCAACAATTACCGCAATAAATAATTTCAGTGCTACAATGCAAATTTACCTGTTTTACCTTTTTTTAAAAAAAATATTCATCCGAGGATATTTTTCCATTGATTTTTAGAGAGAATGGAAGAGAGAGGGAAAGAGAGAGAGAAACATCGATGGGAGAGGAACACATCGACTGGTTGCCTCCTGCACGAGCCTGCAACCAAGGCATGTGCCCTTGACTGGAATTGAACCTGGGACCCTTCAGTCTGCAGGCTGATGCTCTATCCACTGAGCCAAACGGGCTAGGGCTGCCCTTGTTTTACTTTTGATGAGCTCTGACGTTATCTACACATGAACAGGCAGCAGAGACTATTAAACCGTTGTGTTTGGGTCCACAGAGACCTGGATTCCAGCTGGTTTTCCAATTTACACACTGTCTTTGTAATCTCACTGAGCTCCATTTCTTCCCTCACAAAATGCGGATATTTGTATTTACTCTAAAAGGCTCTGGTGAGAATTAAAGGAGTCAGTGGTAGGTAAGCACCTTTACGTGTTAACTCCAATGGGGGGGAATCAGACAGGGCTGCTCCGCAGGGATCTGCCTGAATTCCCCATCTTGTTTAAGGTGTGTTTTATTGACTTCAATCGATGCTCTGTCTCACAATCTGTAATTATTGACACAGCCTAAGAATAATGGAAATCAAAACAAAGTAAAACCAGATTTTTAAAGGACAGTTTCACAAGCATGAACATTGGATAGTAGGTTTTCGTCTCAGGAAGAATCTGGGCCCATTGTCCGTACCTGATCTCAGGTGAGGGGGCTACAACATCATCCTGCTTATTGTCCCTTGTGTGGTTTTAGGGATTCCCTCTCCTGATCATAAAAGGGAACTGGCTTTCTTTGATTGATTTTTTTTCACTATTTTTGTTATTCGGCCACAAACTGAAATGCCTTCAGGGGCCAGGCAGGCAAGACGGCTTTGGTCTTACTGGCCCCCAAGTGGCAACGTCGTGTCTTACTTCAATAAGAATGGACTTTTGATGGTGATTCTACAGAAAGGACTTGGAGACTGAGAAGCGGGAATGGAGGTCTGTGGAGGAAGAGAGGTGATTTCTGCAATCGATCTTAGAAAAGAGAGAAGGCCAGGATGGAACCCCTAACGCTTTGGAGCGCGCAGGAAAACATAAGGGGGAGAGGGGTTTAGGGTGATGGGTAAATCGCAGAGATAGGACAGGTGACTGACAGGTGCACTGGAAGAGAAAAAGAGGCAAAAAGAATAAGTTTGCCAATAACAGAAGAAGAATGGTTCAACTTGAGGAAAGACCTCCATGCTGAAAAAATAGTCAAAGACGGAGGCTCACGGGATGTGGAAAGACACACATAAGCCTATTCTCTAAAACGACTCCACAGCAACGAGAAAAAGGAATTCTGACAAACCTCTGGCCGAAAACAAAACACTGACCTACCACGGAAACGGATCGGAGTGGCACGGAGCCAACCGGCTGTGACACTAAGTTAACTCAGATTGTGGGAGAAGAAGGCTGAAGCCAAGGCAAGGATTTCGCTTACGAGGGTGAACGGAAGAAATATGTGCAGTTATTTATAGACTTAGAGACTATTTACCCACATAACCCCTATGGGGAATACATCCAAGGATGGACTCTAATCAAACGCTAAGTAACACCAATCACCATCAAGGAGGATGAAGGGGAGAAGATACAGTGACGGAGCAATATGGTCTGGAGTTGTGTTTGATGCACCTGCTAAATAAAGATTCTGGAAACAGAAGAGACACATCACAAGGGGGAGTTCTACTGCATAAAATGTCAAACTATGAAAACATTTTTTGTTGATGGTCAGACGGATAATTTTGTTTCTCTTCCATTTCTCTGTAGTTTCCAAACTTTCTGTAGTAAGAAGCTAATACTGGGATAATGAGAGAAAAAAATCCAACCTATTCTTTTTGTTTGTTAATCCTCATCCAAGAATAGTTTTCCAATGATTTTTAGAGAGAGTGGAAGGAAGGGGGAGAGATAGAGAGAAACATCGCTGTGAGAGAGACACGTGGATTGGCTGCCTCCAGGGCCAGGGAGTGAGCCTGCAACTTAGGTACATGCCCTTGACCGGAATCGAACCCGGGCCCCTTCAGTCCACAGGCGGACGCTCTATATCCACTGAGCCAAACCGGCTAGGGCTCAACCTATTCTTTTTTAAAAAGAGAAGTTTCAAAATCCTAAGTAGACCTTAGGGAAACGGAAAACGCCGAGATGAAGATCCAGAGGGAAACCAATCAAGCAGATAGTAAACAACTTCAAACAAAACTCATTACTTAATCCAAATAACTGGGAAGACGGTCTGGCTTCATGATTTATTCATGTCCATGTGATTGGATTTTAAAAAAAAATTTAAGGAGGTTAAACTCCTGCTAATCATAGTGCTTATGCGTTTAGAGCAGAATGTTGATTTCCCTTGGAAATATACCGGGAAGCCAGCGAGAGCATAATTAGGACGGCTCAACAGATGGGGAGATGGAAGCCTGGAGCCGCAGCAGCAACGGAGCCAGAAAGAACAGCACCGCAGGAGGACAGGAGTTCACAGGAGCGGACAGCTCAGTGGAGAGGCCAAGCCAGAGGCCCCGCCCCCAGCCCGCAGGCCCCGCCCCCCGCGGTGTTCCCACCAATCGCTTTCTGTGCTTTCCCCACTACACTGCGCAGAAAGGGGCGGGGACCATGCTTCCTGGGTGTTGTATCCCCAGCAATAGCTCAGTCCCTTCATAAATATTTGTTCAATAAAGGCACATTCAAAAGGATGTCCCAGCCAGGTTTCAAACAGGAGAATGCTAATTGATACGCACTTGCTGAGTGTTGAATTTGGGGAGAGATGCTATTTTGTAACTTATTTTTTAAAATTTATTTTTATTGATTTCAGAGAGGAAGGGAGAGGGAGAGAGAGAGAGAAATATCAATGATGAGAGAGAATCATTGATCGGCTGCCTCCTGCACGCCCCCTACTGGGGATCGAGCCCACCACCTGGGCATGTGCCCTTGACTGGAATTGGGACCCTTCATTACGCAGGCCAATGCTCTATCCACTGAGCCAAACCAGCTGGGGTTAAATATGCTATTTTGAAAGAAGGGGACACTCTTTCCATTAGGTTATGCAATTTTCACACTGACACTGCATCAGTTTGCCTGAAATAGTATTTAGCCTGGAGATGAGAAGGCTGAAGAAGGGAAATCTGTTTCAAATCCGCAAGCAAGCCCTTCTCTTTCTGGCCATGTGCCAGGATAAAGTTGTAAGAATTAATAGGATGCCGGCCCTAGCATCCAGGCATATGTGTAATATTCAAAGTCAAGTCGCCAGCCTTTCACATCATCACCCAGAGGACAGGAGGAAAAAATGGGATTAAGTTGAAACAGGCAAAATCAGGTTGACAAACTGGATCGGGGAGGGGGCCAACCTGGCCCTCGTCTTGAAATCTATAAAAAGCAAACGATGTTTGTTAGACTGGAGTGGTTTAAGGCAGTGACTCCCAATCCTGCCTGCCCAATGGATCCCCCAAATCCTCTTTTAAAAAGTAGCAACGCCCGAGTCCTCCTAATTAGGTAAAATTTAAATCAAATAGGCTTTCAGCCAGTACCTTCTTCTTTATTTCTTTATTTATAAAAATATTTTTTTATTGAGTTCAGAGAGGAAGGGAGAGGGAGAGATAGAGACATCAATGATGAGACAGACTCATTGATGGGCCGCCTCTTGCACGCCCCCTACTGGGGATCAAGCCCGCAAGCTGGGCATGTGCCCTTGACAGGAATCCAGCCTGGGACCCTTAAGTCCGCAGGCCGATGCTCTATCCACTGAGCCAAACCAGCGAGGGCAGTACCTTCTTTTTTTAGAAATGGTAAACTTGGTGGCCTGAAGAGAACTATTTAAAAAAGTTGGCCCTGGGTCCTGGGGACAAATGATGACACCAATTAACCAACCAAATGCCCCGGCAAGCGGTTACAGAATTAGAACCGCAAACACGCATGTTGTGCCAAGATGAATTCTGGGGCGTGCCACCCACAGGCACCATGATGCCGATGGTACCCCTGAAGTTGCCCAATACAGCAACTCCGTATAGAGAGCCTCTGGTATGCAAACACGAAACTTGATTTTGCCCTTGAAAGCCAGGCGTTCTAGCAGGAGCTGAGCAACATGTGATGAGCAACAGCACACACACACAAATGCAGTGATGTCCATGGGCGACGGAGGACAGTAGACTATAAACATGAGCTTGCACTTGAGAAGCGGAGGCCGGAGTACCAAGGCGAGTCGAGTGCACCTCAGTAAAACCATCGCCCACGCCCTGCGGATGCGCTTACCTGACACGCCGATGGGTGACTGTGGTTGAGATCCCAGTGGGAAGACACGATGTCCACCGACTTTTGGGCCATGGTGAGTAAGTTCATCCAGCCTTGGTAGAGTGACAGGTGAAAGGGTGCGTTTTCCGAATAGTTAAGGCCTTCAGGGATGTTTTCCACCAGGGCGATTCTTAGGAAAGATTTTGAAAAACAAACAAACAAGACCTAGTCAAATTGGAAGCCACAGATCTTTATACACACATGCGGAGACATCTCTTTCCTCTTCCTGGATGTACACGTTTCTCATAATTTACAGTTTCCACCCAAGACGTCTTGGCATTTCCCCTCTGTTAATCTACTGTGTTCCAAGAGTTAAGGCTCTGTTTTTTCTGTTAGTGATCGTGTTTCATAAAATCATGGTATATGTCCCTCATGTCCAGTTTCAAACTAGCCTTGAAAAAAAAAAAATTCAGAGCTTCCTGTTCCAGCATCTTCCCCTGATAACATAGTTCTTTTTAAAAATATGTTTGTAGCCCCAGCCGGTTTGGCTCAGTTACTAAGAGTGTCATCCTGCGGGCCAAAGGGTCCTGGGTTCGATTCCAGTCATCAGATTTTGTTATTTCATGAGTTATTGATGAACTAGAGGCCCGGTGCATGAAATTCATGCATGGGGTGGGGTCCTTCAGCCCGGCGTGCACTCTCTTGCAATCCGGGACCCCTTGGGGGACGTCTGACTGCTAGTTTAGGCTGATCCCGTAGGAATCCCTGCGGGATCGGGCCTAAATCGGCAGTCGGACATCCCTCTCGCAATCCGGGACCGCTGGCTCCTAACCACTCGCCTGCCTGCCTGATTGCCCCTAACCGCTCACCTGCCTGCCTGATTGCCCCTAACCACTCGCCTGCCTGCCTGATTGCCCCTAACCGCTCACCTGCCTGCCTGATTGCCCCTAACCACTCGCCTGCCTGCCTGATTGCCCCTAACCGCTCACCTGCCTGCCTGATTGCCCCTAACTGCCTCTGCCTCACCCCTCCGCTACGGCTTCATCTGGAAGGATGTCCGGAATGACGTCTGGAAGGTCATTCAGCTGTCTGGTCTAATTAGCATATTAAGCTTTTCTTATTACAGATATGCCACAATTCTGTTTCTTTGAGATATTTTATAACTTTATTTCTACATGGTTGGTTTCCTTTGCAATTCTATGTATTTTAACTAAAAGACCATTCTCCAAGGAAGGGGCCACGGGGTTCCTCAGACTGACAAAGGGGTCTCCGGCACAGAAAGGGTTACGTGCTCATCCGACGGATAAAGCATCATCTGTTCCTTTTTCTTTCTGTTTCACACACATTCTTATAACAAATTTCCCCCTTTTGAAGACTTAGAAGTGGATAAGATCCGCAAGAGAGATTTCTCAAGAGAAGAGAATCGGGTCAAAGCCAGGCTCGGGAAGCATCTAATCCCTTCTGGTTGGTAGAGAAAGTGGGGCAGGCGAAGGAGACAGAAGAAGTACTGGGAAGGCCAGCAGAGGAGGGAGAAGCAATTCCTGGGAGCCAACGAAGACCACACTTATTATTATTATTTGATTTTTACTAAGTAACCGCGTCAACGATGAATTTGTACTAAAAGTAAAAACAGAGGAGCTGCTCTGGGGGGCACGCTCAGGTTTGGGTAATGAATGTCCAGAACAAAGGCCCTGCCCGCCTCCTCCCAAATGACCAGGAAAGCTGGTCCGTCCCTGCAGCGACTCGGCGCCTGCTTCCTACGTCCCCGTAGAAAAAGCTTCTAGAAATCAACGTAGAAATATCTGGGCTTGTTTCTGTGACCTATCATTTCATTTTCTCTAACAACCAACAGCCCGCTTCTCTCCAGGGGCAGATGTAATGAGCATCCAGGCAGGACTCATTTCCACGGGACAGCAGCCCTCGCTCCGTGCTTGCTTCTCAGGCAACGAGAGGAGTGAACAGACCTCATTAACATCCACCTTTGGCCAAGTCCCAGGGATGCCAGCAGGCCGGCTCTGAGAGAACTGTGCCCAAAGGCTGTGGCACTATTTCTGATGTCTCATAACAAGGGGAAAAGGCTGAATATACAGACACAAGACAGCAAAAATCGTTTCATGGCCCTGGCTGGTTTGGCTCAGTGGATAGAGCGTTGGCCTGCAGACTGAGGGGTCCCGAGTTTGATTCTGGTCAAGGGCACATGCCAGGGGTTGCGGGCTCGATCCCTAGTAGGGGGCGTGCAGGAGGCAGCTGATCGATGAGTTTCTTTCATCATTGATGTTTCTGTCTCTCTGTCCCTCTCCCTTCCTCTCTGAAATCAATATATATATATTGATATATATATATATCAATATATTTTTATATATATATATATTGATATATATATATATATATATCAATATATATATATTATATATATATATATAATCTTTTCATGCTTCTTTTCATGGTACTCTGAGATAAATGACAAATGGTTTGAATGGTGAGTCCCAGGACCTGAGGTGGAATAAATATAAAAAAAGTGTTTGACATTGTTAGATTTTAAAATAGAATTCTGGCTGTTTTCATTAACTATGTATTTATTTGTCAAAATTAATGGGATCATCAAATTTTCTCTTTCAATTCAGGAACAAATTTCACCTTTTATTTTATTTTATTTTTTAAAATATATTTTATTGATTTTTTTTTTACAGAGAGGAAGGGAGAGAGATAGAGAGCTAGAAACATCGATGAGAGAGAGAAACATCAATCAGCTGCCCCCTGCACATCTCCCACTGGGGATGTGCCCACAACCCAGGCACATGCCCCTGACCGGAACCAAACCCGGGACCCCTCAATCCGCAAGCCGACGCTCCATCCACTGAGCCAAACCGGCCTCGGCATATTTTTTTAAAGTATATTTTTATTGATTTCAGAGAGGAAGGGAAAGGGAGAGAGAGCTAGAAACATCAACAATGAGAGAGAATCATTGATCGGCTGCCTCCTGCACATCCCACCCTGGGAAATCAAACCCACAACCCGGGCATGTGCCCTCACCAGGAATTGAACCATGATCTCCTGGTTCATAGGTTGATGCTCAACCACTGAGCAATACTTCACCTTTTAAAAGAAATACCTGTAGTTCCCCTCGAATAAGTTACTAAGAAGTGCAATGCCAACATTTGCTAGCTTTAAAACGTACGTGTGTGTGTTTGTGTGTGTGTGTGTGTGTGTGTTAAACACAAAGAATCTCTATCAAGTATTATACTTCCACACTTGACTTGTTAAAGAGCAGAGGATTTGCAATAAGGCAGACGAAACCCAGTTCTGCCAGTTATTAGCTGTGCAACCTTGGACATAGGTTTAACTTATTAAAATCTGTTTCCACTTCTGAGAGAGAAACAGTTATTACAAAGATTAGAGGAAATAATCTATGTGAAGTTCTTTGCTCCGTGCCTGCTTCCTAGTAAGCGCTAAAGACAATTTTAAGCAGTAACTTACAGCCTAAAAGCTTACAATTAAAATGCCTGCAAGTTCTCAAACTGATATAGCGCGGTCACTACAAAGGATCTACATACTTTCTCTCATCGCTGTGCAAGGGGTTGGTTATTGGACCTGCTGACCCACACAGGCTGCTTGGCGGTCAATTCATTGACTTTCATTCCTGAGGTCTTGGCTGACGGCATTAATCAATGAGCAGGGGGCCTTAGTTCATCAATACAATTAGACTTGCATTCAGAGCAAAGGGATGCACCTCGGTGGGTCAGCTGGCTGTGATCACACCCCAGGATTGACAAGGAAGCAGGCTGACCTTCCCCAAGATCACATGAGGTCACATGAGGAATCAGAGGGCCTGGGGGACCTGAGAGCCGAAACCCTCTGGTCCCCCAAAGCCGAGCCCGAAGCTGAGACAAGGATGTAAGACATTCATTCGGGAGGGTTCCCAGGAAGCAGGAACGAGGGAGCAGGGTCAGTGAAAGGGGAAGGCCCATAAGAACCCCCGGATGAGCAGGTCACAGCCACGGGCAGCTGAGCGCAGTGTCACGGGGCCCTCGGAGGGAATGTGTGGAACCCTCCTGGGAACTCTCATCCCACTGGAGTTGAGAGCTGCCCCGGGGGTGACTGATGCCCCGGACTGATGGGCTGGCCAGTGAAGGCCAAGCCAGCTCCCAGGCACCAGACAAAGCTCTTATGGTGGGGTTGTGGGTTCAATCCCCAGTGGGGGGCATGCAGGTGGGAGCCTATCAAGGATTTTCCTTCATCATTGATGTTTCTATCTCTCTCTCCTTCTCCCTTCCTCTCTGAAATCAATCTATCTATCTATCTATCTATCTATCTATCTATCTATCTATCGATCTATCTATGAATGACTAGGGCCTACATGAAGATGATGGTGGCTTCAACTTGGGGGTGAGCCCTGGAGATGGAGAAGAGTGGAGAGACACAGACAGTGACCCTCCCTCACGGAACTCACATGTTAGTGGGAAAGGCAGGCAATAAACACTAGACATTTGATGGTAAAGCAGATAGGAATATGGGTACTAAGGAGTAAATTCTTCTGCCCCATTCTTTATTTTTTAAAATGTATTTTTAGTGATTTCAGAGGGGATGGGAGGGGGAGAGAGAGAGAGAAACATCAATGATGAGAGGGAATCACTGATCGGCTGCCTCCTGCACACCCCACACTGGGGATCGAGCCCACAACTTGGGCATGTGCCCTTGACTGGAATTGAATCCAGGACCCTTCAGTCCCCAGGCTGATGCTCTATCTACTGAGCCAAACCGGCCAGGGCTTCTGCCCCATTCTTGACGTCACTTCCAGGTTCAAGGGTGCTCTGTGGTGTGACACAACTTTGCCTTTCTCTAGACTAGACCTTTCCTCGCCCTGCTTCAGAGGGGGAGTGAATGACCGGATTGGGAGATCAAGATACATATTCAGCTTCTTCCTCATGTCTTCCTCGTAGGAAAGCCACCCCACCCCAGCCCCCACAAGCTGTGCCTGGACAAGCACCTTCATGGCCAAGCTGACCCTCGTCCAAGGCTGACTGCGGCTCGGTGCTAAGCCCGGCTGAGCCTCCACCTGCTGCTCCTGGTCAGAACTGTCAACTTGCTCAGGCAGAAGGATGCTCGTTACTGAGCCCCCTCCGGGACCCTAACATGGACATGAGCTGGAATTCTAATGCTGTGGGGAGGCACGGGACTTGGTTGCAAAGT